AAGCCGCGATTATTTTAATCGCGGCTTCATTTCCCTCTTCCGAGCTGGCTAATCTACATGCCTCCGTCGACGGAGGCATGGAGTCTGGACACAGCCCAAGATTTAACATATGTTATTAATCACAATTGCAACTAAGTACTGTAGAATGCTGAAGTGTATAACTTCTCAAATATACAGATGAACCGCATCCACCAGAAATCTTTCAGTCCATCTATTTAACTGGAGAGAAAGAGATCTTGGCACAATCAGATAAATTATTAAAGACCCATCAAATATCTATTTTCTCCCAAAATAATTATGATATACAAGTCCTGGGCTTCCCACTTCTGTTATCTTAGGCAAATTTAAGTCAACTTGTTATGCTGGTTGGAATTAAGTCCCTCTCAGAAAGGCATGCAAGCTAACAAGTTGGCAGCTCTCTGTAACATCCTACTGCTTTTGTGTCATGTGCTCCATCATCTGGATTATTGTATGCCTAGGCAGATGGTGATCAGATATTTATGTGTATAATGCAATGTGAGTGAACTTTTGTTAAAACTGAATCAGCTGTAGTGTTTTAATTATTGCTCTGCAAAAGCACTGGTGGTCATCTCTCTCTCTCTAGGGATAAAACTGTTATGCCTACCTAAGACAGAAGATACACAGGTATTGCAAGGATATATGCATGGCAAATGGGATAGACAGATCAATTGATCAACAGAAAAAAGTATTTGTCAGGCCAGAGAAAAAGATGAGATCCTCAGCTAGTCTCTTGTGATATATTACATTCCTGATATACATTGAAAGGAATTGTGTGCTCTCCCGCTCTCTCTCTCTCCAAAAAGTTTCTTCAGTGTGTACCAAGAATGTAACATACCATATCCATCCATCCATCCATCACCACTTATTTAGACAGCTTTACAGATTTACAAATTGTTGTCATGTAAATATCAGAGACAAAACAATAATCATTCCAACAGTGAGCATTTGTTTAGAACAATGGTTCCCAACCTTTCAGAGCATACGGACTCCTTTTCAATCTATTAAAATTTTCAGGACCCCAAACAATATAGCTGTTTTCAGCTATTCTAGTACTTGATAATCATTTGAAATGTATAATAGTTCATGTTATCTAAACAAATATAGTAGTGTTGAGTGATAATACAGCGTTTCCACATTGAAATGCAACAACTTTGAGGTGCCATATATTTTTATTGAATAATGCGATCAGAAGAAAATGTTCCCAGAGTCACTTCCCAGCCCAGCAGGCCAAACCACTGGTATGCTGGGACTTTTTATCAACATGGAGTGTCTGCAGACTTGGAGCCTGTCAGCTTCTAGTCCCTGCATTTCTGGATCAAGGGGAGTGGCAGGAAGCAGTGGCCAGCACATCCCTTAGCCCACACTGCTTCCTCATCTCCTGCCCATCCATGGAGGATACAGGGAAGGGGCTCTCGTGGCCAAAGGCAGCTCCTACCCCAGCACTTTGCTCTTGGCTAGGCATGGAGCCCTGGGGGGAGAAAAAAAGGAAAGGAAAAGAAAAGGAAGGATTGGGCCCACCACAGGACTGGGCAGGGGGAGTGGGCTGGAACGTAAACAGCACAGCTGGCAATGGGACGTCGGATGGTTGTGAATGATGAGCCCTGGGTGAGAATCACCTGGCGGAAAGTCCCAGCCTCTCCGTGGGCCCGATTCTTACTTTTAAACTTTCCATGGACACCCTACCAGCAGTGTTTCTTAAACTGTGTTCTGTGGGCTACTGGTGTGTCGCGAGGCAGTCAGAGGTGTGCTGTGGAGAGTACAAAATGGACACTTTCTTTTTTTTTTTTGGCTCAACAAAAAATCCTTGGTGTTCCTCATAAAAATTATTGTTTGGTGATCCTCAGTCTTAAAAAGTTTAAGAAACACTGCCCTACAGTACCATTGCGGACCACCAGGGGTTCGCGGACCACAGGTTGGGAACCACTGGTTTAGGGAAACATAGTAATATAATCATCAGATCTCTCTAAAACAAGGGTAACCAGGATGCTAACACATATATTTTAATACATGTAACTATATCTATTTATTGCTTCTTTTCTTAGTCCAGTCCAAGGCTGTTAGTGACAGGAAAGGTGGACAGGTATCTAAGTCATAACATTTGAGCTCTGAACATGGAAAAGGATTGTCCAACATTGTATTTTTTCTAGCCTGCAGAGAGCCAAAGATCTCTGACCTGGTGAGACAGAAAGTGCTTCCAATGCAGGTTCAATCAAGGTGAGATTGTAGTGCCTCTCTTTTAAGAACATTTCTTGTTTATTCCCCCTATGGGATGCAGCCAGAATTAGGGCTGTGAGCTATAACAGATAGCAGGGTTTCCCCTGGGACTCCTCAGTGCTAGGGAAAGTGTTTTGCAACTTGGGACGGTGGGGTCTTACTGAAGAAACTGGTAGTGTAGGGGAAAGGCATCCTAGTGTGCTCCATCGCAGTAGGCCCCGTCACCTGAAGAGATGGAACATGAAATGGTAGGAAGTTGGGCTTTGATAGAGATGGAAAAGCTTGGAAGAAAAAAAAAAAAGAGTCAACCCTGAATTTTTGTTCATTTCTCAGAAAGAACCCAATCCAAATCTGTCTGGAGATTCTGCCAAGTTCAAATTAATGTTTTTAATAATAATAATTAGTTATCGTTTTTGTGCAGTGCTGATCATGTATATTTTAAAGGCAGTGCACCAATATCTTCAGTCTCCCCTCCCACCTCCAAAAGATTCATGTTACTTAACAAACATGCCACCAATAAATATATTTGGACCTTATCACCATAGTATCCGGGAATCTCATGTTCATTCATTGAATTTGTCCTCCTCCCCCACCGCCAGTCAGGAAATATCCACATTTGTACAGATGGGGAACTGAGGCAGAGAGAAGAGAAAGTGATTTATCTTCAGTTACACAGAAAGTTGACAGCTGAAGAGGGATCAGAAAATAGGGATCAGAAGTCTTAACCCAGTGTCCTATCATCTGGACCATCCTTTCTATTCAAACTCCTTGTTTATAGAAAAGAAATGGACTTTATTGACACTGCATTCAGCTTTGTTATCTTGGCTTTGAGGAGTAATCTCACAGTTTTCATGTACACAAGACAACCTGTCTCTCTGGAACCTCATGGGATATATACCAAAATAACATGAGAAAGATCTATTCTCCAGGCATTTCCAGCTGCAACAGGTAGCAGGAATCTCACAGGAAACTCATTTCATTTC